ATCTCCTTGCTGACAGAGACACATGGTGTCTTGAAAGCAGGTTTATTGTGGCATGAGCTTTCATGGGTAAGCGCTTACTCTGCAGCAGAGAATGTGGCCCTTTGTCATAATTGACATATTTCAGGCTTTAAGCCAGGCACCCCCAACTCAGCCCTCCAGATGTTTTGGGACTACAATTCCCATCATCCCTGGCCACTGGTCCTGTTAGGATGATGGGAATTGTATTCCCAAAATATCTGGAGGGCCGAGTTTGGGGATGCCTGCTCCTCATGTGCTCCATTAGTCAACAAAAGAGGTTTAAAGACTCTCTCAAGGCAAATCTTTAAAAAGTAGTATAAACACAGACAACTGGGAAACACTGGTTTGCGAGTGCTCAAATTGGAGAACAGTCTTTACCGAAGGTGTCGTGGGCTTTGAAGATGCTCGAACTCAGGACGAAAGGGAGAAAGGTGCTAAGAGGAAGGCATGTTTGGCAAACCAATACCATGATCAACTCCCACCCGGAAACCTATGTCCCCACTGTGGAAGGATGTGTGAATCCAGAATTGGCCTCCACAGTCACTTGCGGACTCACTGTTAAGACCGTGTTCCTGGAAGACAATTTTACTTGGCTACGAATGGTCGCCAAAGAAGAAGAAGATTTGTAGCCTGGATAAATAATGCTAATTAATTCTGTGATTATTCCCATAGTCCCTGTTAACCTTCTGTTTGGATTTTATGGTTGCAGAATTTGGCATTTTCAGTGCATAATTCTAGTCTGATCACTCTGCCGGTCTGCGACAGTAGCTTCAAGACAGAGGGCCTTGCTAATGTTTTAAAGTGGGAGCACCGACTGGCTCACCATGCGCAAGATAGTGCTTCTTAAGAGAACCTATGCTCCATATTAACTTGCCAGCAGTTCTCTCCTTGCCAGGCAGACAAACTTGTATATGTAACATGCTTGCATGTTTCAAAACCTCTGAGGCCTCTGCATTTGAATTTTCACAGAAAACTCAGGAAGTTCAAAGTGCCCATCATTAAAGCATCCTCTGGTTTTGCAGCACTGGAACATTGTTTGAGTGCCTTTTCTGGCATTATAAGGAATGAACAAAAAGGATGCTGAAGGCACTGAAATCTGTTATATTTACTGCAATGGATTGTCAATATATACTGGTTTGTGCTCTAGCACCCTTCATCTGTAGGCACCTAAGGCACATGACAACACGGAAGGTGCATGAAAACACGGAAGATCCCTGAATTGAACTGCTCTGGATCAAAACAAATCTGGAATGCTTTTCTTCTCATTCAACCTGCATTTGTAAGATACTGACTTACTCTGCAGGGGTCACAGTCATTAGGGTCTTTTCCAGCTTTCTTCCTATTAATTCAAGCTGCTGGATCAACAGCCCTCTATTCTTCAGTCTTCAAATTGAAGCTTTAAGGACTAATGTCATAGGAACCCCTTGTTCTATAGGAAACCTTGTGGTGATCATTCTCTGTAAGTGGTGTTCTGGGTAAAACATATAGTAAAGGTGCTGTGGTGGCTCTCAAGATTTCCCAGTTGCTGCTAGCATGCATCTTGGCTGTGATTTTTCTTCTTCTTTGGAAATGCCATATCCGAAATTCCTAATTGCTTCATGCAGTGCAGATCTTGGTGGATTTCACCACTGCAAATTCCATGATTTAGCATGGTTGTAATTTGCTTAAAAGATGCCTGTTTGTAATAATCCAATTAAGCAGTCTTAACTAGGGGGTAATGCATAGTGTTAGTGGATAGGACACCAGCGTGTCTGTCAGATGCCTCTAGCGTAGTGGTTATGATGCTGCTTTCTTTAAAAAAGTTTCTTTCTTTTACTCTGTTTTGCTAAGTCCATAATGGCTGGTGTTTCCAAGACAGGGGAAAGGGGGGCGGTCAGCATTTAAGTGGTGGTGGAAGTTGAAAGTTTGAGAACATTTGAGAGAAGGTGGTTACAGTAAAAGAATGTCAGGTCATTGCACTGCTGTGTATGCAGAATACTTGCTGTGTAGTGCACCAGTGATCCTGCTGGGAAGGGCCAACTCTGACAGCATGCTGCAGAGCAGTACAAACATCCAGAGTCTTTACAATGTGCTGAGCAAAGCACCACATCTGTGATTGGAGAAGATTATTTAACATGGGTGGATAAAGTTATTTGTACTCAATGAATAGCAATAATGGAAGGCAGTAAAAACCTTTAAAAAAGCGTTCATTTTTGTAACGTGTGTGTGTGTGTGTGTGTGTGTGTGTAGATATATACCGTATTTTTCGTTCTATAACACGCACCCGACCGTAACACACACGTAGTTTTTAGAGGAGGAAAATCTGTAGGCATGCCACCTGTAGGCATTCCCTCCATAACATGCACAGACATTTCCCCTTACTTTTTAGGAGGAAAAAAGTGAGTGTTATGGTGCAAAAAATACGGTATATATGGTCTGAAAAAATAATATTTGGTTTCAGAAAGAAGAGTTAAGACTCTTACAAATGCACACATGCCTCAGAAAGCGTAAAATTTGGATTTTGCCTTAACTTCTGCACCATGTAAACTGTAAACACATTCTAAAATCTTGTGTATTGTACTTCCTTACGACTAAAACTCCATGTACCCACACTTTCCCCTTAGTCTTTCATTCCCAATGCAAAAAAGAGTAACTTTAAGGTATGTTGTATGTCTGTAAAAATAATGATTCCAGCCATTAAAAAAACAAAACTTGTAACTCAACCATACTAAATTTCATGTGGATAGGATAATCATATTGAATGTACATAAGGAATGTACTTATGCTTTCTAAGTTTGAAATTCTATACAGCTATTATTATTTTTTTTATTACACTGTAACCCACATTTAGGATCCAGAGTAGCCAAAGATACTAAGCTAATATTTTATAAGTAAATCTCCGCTGTAGCTAATAAGACAGCAAGATTTGGCAGGTGTAAAAGGTGGTGCTATACATTATATGTAAATCTGTGTGTGACACATACTTCAGCCACTTACTTGTATTAGGGGGGAAATGGCTTCAAGAGGAGAGATTTGGGGAAGAGACACCTTGGAGATAATGTGTTTAACCCTTCTTCTGCCTAATTCTTTTGCACCTTTCCTCAAGCCTCTTCCTCTTTCCTCCTGTAGAAGTCAGGTTTGGAAGGGTAAACAGACATCTGGAACCCTGAGGCTTTTGTGGGGGGAGGGGAGATCAATCTGCTTCTACACTCCAAATCACTTCCTTACAAAGCTAATTTTCCCTAATAGAAACAGCCATTGAGACATTGTGTGCATCTACGTATAGTGGTACCTCTGGTTACGTACTTAATCTGTTCCGGAGGTCCGTTCTTAACCTGAAACTGTTCTTAACCTGAAACTGTTCTTAACCTGAAGCTAATGGGGCCTCCTGCTGCTGCCGTCGCGCCGCCAGAGCACGATTTCTGTTCTCATCTTGAAGCAAAGTTCTTAACCCGAGGTACTGTTTCTGGGTTAACGGAGTATGTAACCTGAAGCGTATGTAACCTGGAGCGTATGTAACCCGAGGTACCACTTGTACAGGATGTTCCATTTTTACAATAACGTATGTTGCCTTCCCCATCAGCTGCTAAAATCTGCACAAATGGACCATTGCTGGTCAGTCCAATAATTAATTTGCCCGATTAGAATGGAGGACATTCCTCTGATATACTTGGGGAAGGGGGGCCCCAGTCCTTAAATTCTTCTGGTGGCTCCTTACTATCCTTAATAATAAATATAATTTTGTTTTAGCCTATAGAACTTATTATGTACACTGCTTAGGGATTCTTTAAACCCTTTGTAATTTTTAAAAATAAATACAAGTATGGAAGAAGGATTCCCCTGCCCCCAACAATAGTTGTTTCTCAGCAGCCTGAGGGCTTCCTGTGCAGTTTGGTGCTGTGACAAGGCTGGAGGACGGAAGCATCGTTGAAATGCGCAGGGTTATCCCACAAGAAGCCCCTAATAATCACTGAGTGAATGGGTGGCAGGTTTTCAGAACGGGTGGTCATAACGACAGCGCCTGGCAGTGATGCGCCATCCCTGTTTCTAGGTTTGAGTACCTTGTCATGGAAGAACCATGACAGGACATGGCTGCAGCAGCTTCCCTGGAGCTATGGAGACCCCCTGCTTCCCCTATTCTTGATTCCTCTTATTCACAGTGATTATTTTCTATGCTGGGATGTGGATCCATGTGTGCCTGTACAGGAGCTGCTATCATTGATAGCTTGTAGAAGTTGTCATCTCGATTGTTCTGCCTGTTGCTTTCATGCCTCTGCTGTGAAAATACTGCACCCCAGCTCCGCAGGCAGAGCCTGTGTCCTTGCCAGGCTTTCAATGCTGAATCATCTTGCCGTTGTTAGCTAGCTGTGTAATCCCTCAGCTTGGCTCCCCTTCACTTTGTGGCTTTCTGCTGGAAAGATCAGGACAAAAATACACAAGATTTGCAGAGGAAATGAATGTCATTTGATCAGCCCGGCCTTCTGCTCAGAAATGGCCTTGTCCTCTGGTGACCAACCTCCCTTCTAAGGTAGAAACATGATAGATAGAAATTAGGCAGGCTTTTCTGATGGAGTTGTGAGCCTGCTTTGGGCATACAGTGGTACCCCGCAAGACGAACGCCTCGCAAGACGGAAAACCCGCTAGACGAAAGGGTTTTCCGTTTTGGAGGCGCTTCGCAAAACGAATTTCCCTATGGGCTTGCTTCGCAAGACGACAGCCCATAGGGAAATCTCAGGGACAGCGGGGAAGCGCAGCGCGTCTTCCCCACTGTCCTCGGACCTCCTCCGAAGCCTGGCGGCGGGAGGGGACACCTCCTCCCGCCGCCGCCGGGCTCGGAAGGCTCCTCCGAGCCGGGCGGGGGGAGGGAACACCTGCCGCCGCCGCCCGGCTTCGGAACGGTGCTCCGAGCCGGGCGGGGGGAGGGAGACCTCCCCACCGCCCGGCTTCAGAACGGTGCTCCGAGCCGGGCGGTGGGGAGGGAACACCTCCGCCGCCGCCCGGCTTCGGAACGGTGCTCCGAGCCGGGCGGTGGGGAGGGAAGACCTCCCCGCCGCCCGGCTCGGAACGGTGCTCCGAGCCGGGCGGGGGAGGGAACACCTCCGCCGCCGCCCGGCTCGGAACGGTGCTCCGGCCGGGCGGGGGAGGGAAGACCTCCCCGCCGCCCGGCTCGGAACGGTGCTCCGGGCCGGGCGGGGAGGGAACACCTCCGCCGCCGCCCGGCTCGGAACGGTGCTCCGGCCGGGCGGGGGAGGGAAGACCTCCCCGCCGCCCGGCTCGGAACGGTGCTCCGGGTCGGGCGGGGAGGGAACACCTCCGCCGCCGCCCGGCTCGGAACGGTGCTCCGAGCCGGGCGGGGGAGGGAAGACCTTCTGAAGGCGGGCGGGGGCGAAAGTCTTTGCTCCCCCTGCCTGCCTGTCCCGGAGGGCTTTTGAAGGCGGGGAGCAAGACTTCGCCCCCGCCCGCCTTCAGAAGAGGTCCAGGACCTCTTCTGAAGGCTGGCGGGGGCAAAGTCTTTGTCCCCCCTGCCTGCCTTCCCAGGGGCTTTTAAATTGCCCCGGACAGCGGAGAAGTCCTCCGCTGTCCCGGGGTGATTTTAAAATGCCGCCCGCCAGCATTTTAAGATCGCCCGGACAGCGGAGAAGTCCTCCGCTGTCCCGGCGATGTTTAAAATGCTGGGGTTGGGAAGAAAAGCCCTTGCTCCCCAGCCTTCAGAAGAGGTCCGGGGACAGACTGTCCCCGGACCTGGTCTGAAGGCGGTTTCCCTAGGAACGCATTAATTGATTTTCAATGCATTCCTATGGGAAACCGTGCATCGCAAGACGAAAAACTCGCAAGACGAAGAGACTTGCGGAACGAATTAATTTCGTCTTGCGAGGCACCACTGTAGTTTACCACAGAGATATTTTTTTGGGGGGGGGTTAAAGTATTAAATAATTAAATCAGTTTTTTTAATGTAAACAATAAGGTTGTAAATTAACATGTGGTCTTGGGTCAGATTTGTAGCACTGTTTAGGACAGGGGCCCTCCAGATGTTGCTGGACTCTAGTTCCCATAATCACTGGATGTGATGGCTAGGCTGATGAGCGTTGGAGTCCATCTGGAGGGCACTAGGCCCCTCACTTCCTGTTTATGAAATATGCAAAGAAATATCAATGGGAAACTTGGTCTAAACTGATGATTTAAATGGGCCTTTCGCCTTGCTAATTAAGACCATGGTTTAAATCTTCTTGTGTGCCATCCCCTCTTAATCTTAGAAGGATTAGCAAGGGAGGCCTTGCCAGGAAAGAATCGCAGGAGTCAGGTGTGGTGGTTGTCACCTGAAAATCTGGCCAACAACTTCAGGAAAGGCCAGCTAGATGCTTGAGGATTAATGGAATGGGTACGTAGTAGCGGGTATGCAGCTTGGTGATACTTCTGGCTCTCTTGCTGTCTCTAGAGGTTCAGGTGGCCTTTTTGGCTCGGGGTGCCTTCCATCAGCTTCGGCTGGTGGCCCAGCTGTGCCCCTATTTGGAAAGGGATAGCCTAATTTCTGTCATCTATGCTGTCATCTAACCTCTAGGTTAGATTACTGCAGTGCATTACACATGGGGCTGCCTCTAAAGGTGGTTCAGAAACTTCAGCTGGTGCAGAATTCAGAAACCAGGTTGCTCACCAGTATAAGATGGTTTGAGCCTATTGCACCAATCCTGGCCCAAGTTCACTGGCTGCCAATTTGTTTCTGGGCCCAATTCAAAGTGCTGGTTTTGACCTACAAGGCCTTAAACGGCTCAGGGCCACAGTACCTCAAGGACTGCCTCTTCCTCATATGAACCTACCCGGACCCTGGAATCGTCATCTGAGGCCCTTATTTGTGTGTCTCCTCCCCAAGAGGTCTGGAGAACAGGCAATACAAGAACAGACCTTTTCTGCAGTGGCTTCCCATTCGTGGGATACTCCCTCTGGGGAAGCTAGCCTGGCACTTTCATTACCTTTCTGTAGGTAACAAGTGAAGACATTTCTCTTTAAGCACGTCTTTGCCTGATTAACTTTCTATGGCTTCTTAAATGTGTTTATGGGAGGGGGGTTATTGGTTTGTTTTTGTTTTATTATGTATTTGTGTTTTCATTTTTATGTTGTGAACTGCCTTGTGATCTTCAGATTAAGGGTGATATACAAATTTAATTAATAACGGAGGGCCTTTCCCAATGGTTGCGTTCCATGTGTCCATGTTGTGGCTCCACCTGACTGTTCCTGCAAGGATTTGTGTGTATTTCTCACACTGTAGCTTGCTTGCTTGCGTGTGTTCTAGTAGAAAAGACTCAACTCTCGTTTTTGGAAGGATGCCATTGCCATTCTCTCGATGACTCAATTTCTCACTGCACATTCATGGGTATATTAACTGTAAAGTGTATCCTGTGAGTTCTGCTCTGTGGCTCTTCTTTTCTCTTGACTTCACTGTGAGTTGAAGGAAGGAAGGAATCTGGCCAAACTGTGAAGGGTTTTCTGGCGTCTCCAACAGGGCCTGCCTTGTCCTGATGTTTTCTGCCTCAACCAGCACTGCAGACTGTCCCCTCCCTTCCCCCCAAAGGCCTCCCTCTTCCTCCCAGGAAGGAGGGTTTTGTGTTTTGACTATAAATGGCATACCGCCATAAATCGTTTCTGCGCAGGCTCTCTCTGTCTCTGGTTTGTTGCCATAGTGATGAATACTTTCCTCTTCCCTGAGAGCAGCATTGTATTAATGTAACTGTGCAGCCGTGATTAACTTAAATGACGACAGAGGGTGAGTGGGATACAGACCTGAGTGTGTGTCTCAGTAGCTTATCTGTTAAGAGCCAGGCACTTCATAGCCCTAAACACCACAGATAAAGACGTCTGTGGCTCAGAAGTGCATGATGGTGGCGCAGTTCAGCCATCCTGCATTTTGGGAAACAAGTTTTAAGGCTGTAATACTCTGCTTGTTTACATGGATGTAATTCTGAGTGAACACAGTGGGACTTCTTTCCAAGTGAACACACAGAGGACCAAAATGTTCATCAAATGACTTTTATTAAAGTAACTTCTTCCTTGTAAGCTAAAATGATAATTTCTGCCTGGTCTCTCGCAAGCTAGAAACGTATCAGATATATGTTTATAGATTGTTTGTGTTTCATTGATTCATAAAATTGTAGAGTTGGAAGGGGGAACCAAGGGTCATCTAGTCCCCCCACAGTTTTTACAGGCTTGTTACCCATAAAGCATGTTTGCGTCCTTGATACTCTATGGAGTATCACAGACATGTTTGTTTCTTGCTTGAGAAACTTTGTTCTATACCAGTAGTCTTCAACTTTTCAGATCCCGGAGCCACCTTTAACCCAAACATTCATTTGGTGACCTATTTCTCACTTTCCTTCCATATATTTATATGGTGGTTAAGCTTCCGTTATGACCCACCTTACATCAGACCATGACCCGGCATTGAGTCCTGACCCATCAGTTGAAGACAAGTGGTCTAAACCATCTGGACTATTTTCTTCCACTTTACTAGATAGTGTGGGCCTACCTTCATATCAAAATGTTTGGTCTTGAGGATTTTGCTTATTTCCAAGATGGTTGGAAAATATTTGTTCATGGAACCTACGGTAGCATGAAAGAGGGAAGACTTGTGAACCTCTGGCAAATATACATGCTATATGAATGAGTGTGTCTGTGCGCAACATGAAAAAAGGCACTTTAGCCTTCTTAATCTTCTAAAGCAGGGTAGCCAACATGTTCTCCTTCAGATGTGTTAGACTACATCTCCCATCAACCCCAGCCAGCATAACCAGTGGTCAGGGATGATGGGGGTCCAACAATATTTTGAGGGTACCATATTGACCACCTGTATTCTTAAGCAATTTGCAAACTATTACGAGCCTCTTTTCTTACCACCCCCACTCCTTTCTCCCTGCAGCTACCTGAATGATTTGGAGAGGATAGCCAAAGTGGATTACATTCCAACCCAGCAAGATGTGCTGAGAACCAGAGTGAAGACCACAGGCATTGTAGAGACTCATTTTACCTTCAAAGACCTGCATTTCAAGTAAGTACATAAACTATATAGCTTCCTTTAGGGAAATAAGACTCAAGGTGTACCTAACGTTCATTGCAGAACAGATAAAGTTGGATTTTAGCTATCAGTGTATTTGACACCAAGGCAGGCTTAGCAACATTATGCGCACCCTGCAGCAGAGGGCGCTCTTGTAACCTGCCATGGAGATGGGCCCGGACATTCCAGCAGAGGGAGAGGGTGCTGCACGTTCCCCTGATGTCACAGGGAAATGGATGACTTAGCAACAGTTGCATAGTGATCTGGGAAAAGCAATACAATCGAATAATATACATCAAAAAGAAATGCCAAATCAACGTGGGTGCCTGGCCTCTGGAATTAGGTATTACATATGTAGCATTTTCACTTGTGCCTTTTTGCATATATATTTTTATCTCATCCTGCAGATCAGGGCGACTCCTAGGACTATGTGACCATTTGCTAGTAGGGAGACACATAGTTAACCATCACGTGAAACACAACTGTGTCCATTACCTCCCAACACAGCAAGGATTATTCAGATTGCCTTGCCTTCACTGTCTCATACTGCAGTGATAGAAGCTCTGCTTTAAACGCCCTGGATGTGGTCATTCTGAAAAGCTTTGCTTTTCCACAAATCCATTTGCTGAGTTGTCAGAAAGGAATGATGCATCCCAAAGCCACAAGGGAGCCAGATTTACAGTTGGAACCAATTTCTCCTTAATCGGCTTATTTGGTGCCTTGACAAGCACCTGATTTTCTCCCTGGCCTGCATGCAGGAGAGATGTGCTTTTCTTTTCTTCCCTTTTCTTTTTGGCTTTCGAATGTGTTTGACTCTGGGTTGACTTAGAAAGGGAACATGCTGGCTTGCCTTTATCAGAGCATAAATGCATGACTCAGTAAACCAATAGGCCGAGCTGTAGGGTCTGGCATACAAATGTCCAGGCTGAGATGGTGCCAGTGTAATCTCTCCGCAGTTGTCGGTTCTGAATGCAGCATGAAGGCATCACTGTGGAAAGCCTTTGTATTCTAAGGATTAGACCACAAGAAACTACA